ATTGTAAAATAGTTTTTTTATATGTTGCACACCGGGTGAAAAGTCAGTCGTGTAACATCGACGGTCGCTCCTGTACTCCAGATTACATTTGAAATCGTAATAAGTAATAATCATTCATCATAATCAATAATTATATACGTAGTAATAATACGTATGTGTAAGTACTGGGTAAAAAAATAAGTATTTATTACTTATATTATTACCTTGCCCATCTCAATACGTATATCCGTTTAAATAATATCTTCCGGATATAGTCATCCGGACCTCCCTATTTTTCCGTTCCATTATCTCGAATCTCGAAAGCTTCAAAATAAAAATCAAAGAATAACCAGTATATCGATATATTAATGCTAAGCCCTTGCACTAGTCCAGAGGAATGTTATGTCATGTGAAGTCATATTTCGAGTTTCGAACTGGTTCATATTAATTGGACCGAATCGGCTGTGTACTACGAATGGCTTGTAGAATCCATTTGCGATAAGGTCCTGAGAAAGGACCCGTCTCTGTACTACCTGCCAATTTACTGCGTATTTAAGCTGGGCACGGAATCTTGATATTTTCAAAATTGTACACTATATAGAGATTCTTGATTGAATAGATAGATCCTTGATTTCGTGATTCTGCCTCACATGCCGCCAGAATTTCGGTGACAAATATATCGTACTAACAAACGAGGTTAGCTAATGTTTTCGCCTGCAATTTGATTTTATGTCGGACTTACTTGCAGCTCGGAGCACTTAGAACGAATATTACCTTGCGCCCAGGGCTGTTATAAGAGAGCAGGTACCTGCGCCAAAAATCTTTCGAATAAAGAATCATAAAAAACATTAGACATGAATCCTATGTTAGAAGAGGATGAAGAGTACGATTATGACGATAGATATAATAGGCCATTATTAAGAAAACTCAGTGCGGATAAAAAAAGAGATAAATCTACAGTGATTGATTTTTCGAGTAATTTTATTCAAATTATCTTCTCAACTATATAAATTCGTTACGAAGTTGTAGGCCTAATATCTTTCATTGTCTAGATAATGAGCTAGATGATACTTCTATTCAAAGGGTCTATCTAGAAGAAGAGGATCTTAATGTACGTTAAAATCAAGATACGATAAATCTGTTAATGAAATCTCCTCAATTTACGAACTGTGTTTAATTAAACTATAATGGACTTCTTAGCTTCTTTTAGTGGGCTACAAATTTAACCGATACCGTCTTTATGCGTATTATATTTTGTGCGGTTTGACTGGAGGAATTTTTTATCTCATTTGTCGATGGATACCGAAATTATGGGTTTGGTCAGTGGGCAACGTTTGTGAGCTAGGAAAAGCAGAATGGTTGGTTGTGAAGGTTAGTTCAAGATATTGTCTTCATGTAGTTTAGTGATATAATAATAACTTCCATTCCACAGAATCAATGGGGAGATACATCAATCGAATATGTAATACGTAAATATTACGGTGGAACTATATCTTCAGTCTTCCCTGTTGATCATCCTGAAGACAATAACGTTTCGAGGCTTGCCTCTTACCGAACAGATGACATTTTGCATAATTTACACTTTTTTGACCATCGTTATGTCCGATTCATTTACAACCCTATATTAGGAAAATTCGTACAGAATAAGTAGGCACATAAGCTGTTCTTTTTTTTTTATTCTGCTTCCTATCTTCTGATCTGGTTTGTCCTCTTTAAATTACAGTTTTTGGAAAGATCCTGCATGGGTGTCCGTTAAAATGCTAAAAAAGGGAATTAATCGTGAGACTCATAATGAACGCGAAATTATCTTTGGCCAGAATTTGATTGATGTTCAAGAAAAGTCTACAGCCCAACTTTTAATTGAAGAGGTTTGATATATATATAATTATCATTTGAAATCAGATACATCGTCTCACATATTTACATGAATAATTTTAACATATTTCAAGGCCTTGCACCCGTTTTATATATTTCAAATCTTTTCAATAGTGCTTTGGTGTCTTGACGAGTATTACTACTATGCTGCATGTATATTTATAATATCTGTGATTAGTATTATTACTACGTTGATAGACATAAAACAGGTTAATAATATATTATTTTATTTGAATTATTATTATAAGCATTTTAATGACCAATAATCATAATTTAGACTATGAAAAGACTACGTGAAATGTCAAAATTTATTTGTAATGTGCGGACATTTCGTGGTAATCTCTGTAAGTTTGTGTAGCTTTTTGTGGAGCTCGATGCAGTGTTGGTAGTGACTTTGGATAATCATTGTGACCGTTTAATTTAATATATTATAAAAAATTATTTTACTCTTATGGCTAAAAATCATGTGATTATACGACTAAGGTCATTTCTATGACTTAAGTCATTGGCCAACACTGCTTCAATAAGATATAGAAATATGTGAGTATATTTTTTATAACTCATCTGATTTTTTTGCAACAGGGAGATACGTCTCATCAGAGGATTTAGTGCCCGGAGACGTATTTGAAATATCTGACAGAAATTTACACATTTTCCCGTGTGATGCCGTTTTATTGTCAGGTGATTGCATTGTAAATGAAAGCATGCTCACCGGTAGGAAACAGTTATTTTATTAAAAAACACCTAACTATTAGATTCAGATATATAAATTATAAATTCTAAATAACAGAAACTTTATTTAGGAGAATCTATCCCTGTATCTAAATTGCCTATCGATGATACATCTTTGCATATATTGGATTTAACTACCACCAATGTTCGACCGGAAGTGGCAAAACACTTTTTATTTTCCGGAACGAAAATTGTGCGAGTACGTAGAGCTAAGAATGGCATTACTTCATCTAGTGCAGATGCCGGCAACACATCTGATGATGACGGAGCTTTAGCAATGGTCGTACGCACAGGTAAGTCACTTCGACTTAAAGAATTGAAACAGTATTGACAATAGGCATTTATTTATTTTTTATTTATTTATTTATTTTTATATTTATTTTTTAACTTTAACTAGGATTTAATACAACTAAAGGCTCCTTGGTTAGATCGATGCTGTTTCCAAAGCCACATAAATTTAAATTTTATCGTGACTCATTCCGTTTCATCGGTGTTTTGGCCATAATTGGTATAATATGAATTATTTTGTTTTTATGCTTTATATTTCTGCTTCGTTTGTTTTTAACACAGAATGCTGTAATCTACTTCTTTTTTTTTATAGCTATAATTGGTTTTTTGATTAGTACCTATAATTTCATTAGATTAGGGGTAAATGCTGTTATAATACTTTTGCGTGCGTTAGATTTAATTACTATTGTGGTTCCTCCTGCATTACCCGCAACAATGACTATTGGCACAAACTTCGCTATTGGAAGATTAAAAAAAGCGGAAATATTTTGTATTAGCCCAACAAGGTGATTAATTTCGACAATAAATGTGTACAACATTTATAAATTTCCAAATTCATATATATTTACACATATTATAGGGTTAATGTTGGAGGAAAGCTGAATGCAATGTGTTTTGATAAAACTGGCACGCTCACAGAGGATGGTCTAGACGTTTTGGGAGTTCGTTTTATCAATCAGACATCACACAGGTTTGAATCTCTTAATTATTTTAATTCTTTTCTATGATAGTTAATCTAACTTTTTGAGTAGGTTCTCGGAGCTTCACACTACAGTCGACACACTTTCTAAAGGTGATAGCGACATAAATGACTATTCTATTCCACCAATTTTATGCGCTATGACTACATGCCATTCCCTTAAATTAGTAAATGGTGAACTAATTGGCGATCCACTTGATTTAAAAATGTTTGATTTCACAAAATGGATACTTGAAGAAAGTGGGCAAGGAGTTTCATCCGGAACATTAGACTTATCAGCTAGTTCAGCGTTCTCCGGGAGACCAAGTAGTCCAACAAATGGAACTGGTGGCATAGTACCGACAGTGGTTAGACCGCCTAATAGCAGACAATTTGATTTGGCAGAAGTACTTAGTGCTGATGGAAAAAACGGTGACGGGAAGGTGAATGTTTGCCTATACCTAATCTATTGGTATTTGGTTGATAGCGAAATTAATTATTAACCAATTATTCTTGTATATAGTCCACACCATTTATAGAGCTCGGAATAATTAGAACCTTCGAATTTGTTTCATCGTTACGACGTATGAGCGTGCTCGTAAAGCGCCTGCGAAATCAAACAATTGAAGTTTATGTTAAAGGAGCACCAGAAGTAATGCGCGATATTTGTAGAGCCGAATCCTGTGAGTTTCGCTCGGATGTGTATTAATGTTCAGCAACGAAAATTTTGATTTAATAGATTAATTATTATGCTGTTATTCAGTTCCGGAGGACTATGATGAATTATTACATTATTACACTCATAATGGCTTTCGTGTAATTGCATGCGCTTCAAGGAGCTTTACTGATCTCAGTTGGATGAAGGCTCAGAAGATCAAAAGGTTGGATTTATTAATCATTAACTCGTAAATGTTAATAATTTTATAGCTTTTTTTTTCTTTTTTTTTCTGATATATATGTCCATTATAAAGAGAACAGGTAGAACAAGATCTAGAGTTTATAGGCTTTATAATATTTGAGAATAAATTGAAGCCTGGTACAGCCTCAGTTGTTGAAACTCTCAAGAGAGCTAAAATACGACAGATAATGTGTACTGGTAAATACTATTTTCATTGTTCACAAATAATTTCTTGATTGTTCGTCTGATAGATTATATTTTATTCATAAATCATCTAGGCGATAATGTTTTAACCGCAATAAGTGTTTCCCGTGAATGTGGATTAGTTAATAAGGCCTCAAAAGTTTATGTACCGAGATTCGCTCAAGGATCGTCTCTAAGCTCGCGAGCATCCATTTTATGGGAGAGTTTGGATAACCCGAAAGATTCATTGGATTCAACAACACTAAAGGTTTGCCTTACCAATTAAAATTATTTTATAAATTTTTACAATAATTAAATTATGATTTATTAATATTATAATAGCAGATTATTTCTGTATCACATGATTTTCCTAGCGAATATCCGTTTATCGGTCCCTATGAATATGACCTTGCAGTGACTGGTGATGTTTTCCGTTGGATTATGGATTATGGAGATGAAATGACGCTATTTCGGGTATTTATTCTATATAAAGTTTGTTTAAGTAATAAATTATTATTTTGAACACGTTTTCAAATGTTATGTAGATGCTTGTCAAAGGTCAAATTTTTGCCCGTATGTCGCCAGACGAGAAACACGAATTAGTAGAAAAACTTCAAGAAATTGGATACTGTGTTGGTTTTTGTGGTGATGGTGCCAATGATTGCGGTGCACTTAAAGCAGCTGATGTTGGGCTGTCACTTTCTGATGCTGAAGCTTCTGTTGCAGCTCCATTTACGAGTCGCAATATGGATATCGGATGTGTTATCGAAGTTATCAAGTATGATATGACTTATTAGAATTCTTCGTTGGGTTCTTTATCTAAAAACTATTCTTTGTTATTATTAAAAATTTATTAGAGAAGGCCGTGCAGCCCTAGTCACAAGCTTCAGTTGTTTCAAATATATGGCTCTGTACAGCATAATTCAATTCACAACAGTTAGCATATTATATTATTATGGGTCTAATTTGGGAAACCTTCAGGTGAGGCCTTATTTATACGTTTATTAGGACGACATAAGAATTATTCCTTGCTCATATTATTCTGCTTAGTAGTTTCTTTATATAGATTTATTCTTAATATTGCCTATCGCGGTTCTAAGTAAGGTTCATTTACTCCTTTTGGGTTTATTTATAAACATCTTCGTTGATTTAATGCTTGTTATCTAGTGGGTCGCACGGAACCATTCCCACGCATACACCCAAAACGCCCAACTGCAAGCCTGGTTTCCAAGAAGGTGCTAACGTCGGTGATTGGACAGATTATAATCCAATCAGGAATTCAATTTTTAGTTCTCATAATTATACACAATCAATCATGGTAAATTTTATATATCAATTTACATTTCTTCTTTTGTGATAATTCAAAGTTTATTATATATTTCAAATTTACTGCAGGTATCGGAAACCAGCCTTTGACCCGAATGAGACAGTTATAAAAAATTTTGAAAACTCGATATTATTTTTATTATCTTGTTTTCAATACATTATTATCGCAGCGGTATTTAGTGTTGGACCTCCATATAGAAAATCGATGATCACAAATGGTACTATAGATTACATGCTTGAATATTAATGCTTGTTTTTTTAAGAGTCTTCAATCTAATTGTTTCGATGTAATAGTTCCATTTATAATCACAACGGCTTTTTTTACTCTCCTCACTGCAGTAATCCTTATATCACCTTCAAGTGGTTTCATAAACCTTCTAGAGCTTGAGACCATTGATTACACCTTTCGATGGTATCTATTAGCTATTGTAATAGCCGACTTTTTTATTTCATTATTTATGGAGAAATACGCTTTCGATGTCATTTCGCGATGGATAGGTACTGGTAGTGCCAGGTCTGACAAAAAAATGTTTAAAAAAATATTAGCCGAAATGGACACTAAAGAGCTGTAAATTATATTTAAAATTTTGCAAATATAAATGAAAAAAACGTTAATTTGATTAGTATAGTCACCTCTATACAAAACCTATGGGCTCTGTTATGACGAGTCAAAAGAGATTTCTTAGAGCGAGCGAATCATGTTTATATTAGAGATGGTAAAGCTTTTATATTCAGAATTATAGAATCTAGTTTTGGAATTTAAAAGACTAGATTCTGATTTTAGAATTTATTTTAATATATTTTGTACAGTATAAAATTTTTTAATAAAATTAAACTTTTTTTTTTTAGATATTTGAATTTTATAAAAAATTATATATTATTAATAAAAGTGTACTATAGTTATGAACTAAAATTGATAAATATTTGTTTTTTTAAATATATAGTATATTTATTGCATATATTATATATATATTATAATATTAGGGCTTTAACCTCAAATTCAAACAATAAATTTCATTAATTTCAAATCTAAAACCTAATTTATAAATAATAAACCAAATTCAAATATAATTTTAAGTTCAGTTTGGATTTGGTTTGAAGTTTGTGAAATATATATATTGTATTATATACAAGGACCGGCAGATTCTCGATTTTGATTGGCTAAGAGCGACGATCACACAGCTATTTTCATAATTCCACACCATTTTTTTATAATAAAAAATGAAATGGTGTATCATAATAACATGTATGATCAAGTATTGTAAAATAATTTTTTTATGTTTCACACCGTGTGTAAATATTATTGAATATACTTTCAAATCATCTTCACTGGAAAATATTTGAAAAAAAAATAAAAAGTTGCCAAACACTTAGAAATTTTGCAGTCTAGTAAATAATATTCATTATTTAGAACCAAAAAAAGAAAGAGTTAGGTGTTAGCATATTTTTTATAAGTCAAATTCTCAAACACTTTCAAAATATAGATATATTGAAAAGCTTCTGTTACTTTTAGAATCATATTTACTGAATATGAGTTTGTGCTATATGAATTACATTCTCAAGATAGAACTCTGGTTAGATGTAAAATTAGTCTTATAACAATTTGAAGGACTAAAAACCAACTTGTATATACAAATAAAAACAATATTTTATTTATATTGTGCCTCAGATCAATTCTCGTGTCAGATCTAAACTGACACATCAGATATTGATTTTTAAGTAATGCATATTATCTGTCAATTGGTTATTTAATATGTATTAGTTGTAATCTGAGATGCATAAATTGCAACCTGATACACTATTAAAATCACGTGTTTAATTATTTTATCAAAATTTTTATCATGAATTTTTTTAAATTTTTTATTATTAAAAAAAAAATACAAGCATAACAATGAAATTGTAACAATTAACAAAACATATCGCCTTCTATATATTTAAAATGTAATTGAGATATATCACTTCATATTAACAAAAAAAGTATAATAGAATTGTAATAAAATATAAAACTATACAAATAAAATTCTTATACACCAAAACTAGAACAAACAAACTTAAGAACTTCAACAGAAATAAGCACCAACAAATAATGCAATCTACACAAAAACTCCACAACAAAATTATACAAAAAAGTATTAGTGAATATTAAAAAATATATAATAAAACAACTTGAAAATGACAAACTTGCATTACCAAATCCAACACCGAAACCAATAATTCCAATAATAGCAAAGTGTTAATAAATGCAAAAAAAGTAGTGTATTAACATACAAGATTAACTTATTAAATTTAACAATAATAACGATTCTAACAACAAAATCATACTAGAAAAGAGAAGTGTTAGTAAATACAGACAAAAATCAAAAAAGACAATGTTAATGATAAGCTTATGACTTTAACAATGACTTTACCAACGATAGTTTCAAAAACTCCAAAAGCAATAACTTCAATAGCAAACTCATATCCAAAAACAGTAGTAGTAAACAGAAAAAAAGAAAGACAAAATAACATATAAGCAACAAACTTACCAACAAAGATAAAAGTCAGTATAAAAGAATTTTAAAACACCAATAACTGATAATAATGACTCTAACAATAAAATCTCACCCTGAAAGAAAAGAATTTAAAAGCTTACCTGAAGTATAATTTTGCTTCAAGAAGGTGCAAGCCTATGAAAAAAAAAGTATTAGTGCTATTAAAAAAAAAAAAATTCTCTAAATCCTTTCTCACACTTCAAGCCAATTCTAATCTATAAAAAAAATATATACTAGTAGTTACTTTCCTAATTATATTTTAATTATTAATTATAAAAAAAACTAGATTTTAATAATCTTGTATCAGATTACAACTTACATATATCAAATGACCAATTGACAAATGATATATATTATCTGAAAATTAGCATCTGATGTGTATCAGTTTAGATCTGATGCAAAAATCAATCTGAGATACAATATATGGGGGGAGTCAATAGAAAAGGGACAAATCATTTTTAGTAAAATTTTTTTAATTTTTAAATTAAAATATCTCAACAACTAATTACTCAAATTTGCTAAAAATTTTTTTATTTTAATCTTGAAATTATATAGAACTAAAATAAAAAAATTTTTATTAAATTTAATAAGATAATTGTCAAGATATTTAAGCCTAAAGCCAAGAAAACTTTTACTTAGAAAAAATTTGTCTTTTTTCTATTGACTCACCCCATATATATACACTTTTCAATAAAAAAGATGTAGATCTCTATTTAGATATGATCAAAAATTGATTAAAACAACTATTGGTGACAACAAGATATGTGTTGTACAGGTACAGTTGCTGTGAGTTATGTTTTTAATCTAAATTATAAAAACTTGCAAATTACAAAGGTGTAATCTTTAATTTAGTCGACATTAGAGCTATTATCATAATTTTTGTTGTACTGTATAGTAGATCAAGATGGCTTTTTAATTTGGTATAAAGGCGTGACCTGCATTATATGATCACCTGGATTTTGATCATGCCAAAATCACAAACTTATTATTAGTAGTATGATCAGCAAAATTTTGTATAAGCTGCGTTAAATACTATATAAACTTGTAATTTGTATGTATACAATTTTAAGAATTATCAGTATAATATTAATTTTAATTTTTAAAATGTTAGTTGTGGAATTTTTTGAAGCATTTGATTTGGAAGAGTATGTTAAGGCAGGTAATTCGCGAGATCGTTTGTATATATTTGCCTATAATAGTATGTTAAATTTATTCAGATATGAAATATATAAGTTTATAGTGAATAAAGGATATATTATAAAAAGGATTCATATTAAATTTTTATTAAATTTTAAGATTTAAGTTGAGTTTTGGAGGCCTCTGGCATGTATTTTTTCCAACCTTTTATATTCGTTTAAAGCAGCCCGAGGACATTTTAGATAGTTATGATCGAAGTGAAGAAAACAGAGATTTTCCCATGAGGTGGCTTGACCTTCTGCAAATATAGTTTCATTAATGCTAGTAGTTACATGAGGTAAAGTTAAGCCTTGCACTTTATGAGTAGTGAGAGCAAAGGCATTTTGGAGTGGGAATTGTTTTCTAGAAGTTCTCTTTTTAAACAATGATTCTACTTATATTAGTAAAAGTAGGAAATGTAACTTCTACATTTTCATGATCGATTATTTTGGTTATTATTCCAATCGAACCGTTGTATATATCATCGTCAAAAAGTTGATTATTTAGAAACATGACTTGGGCTCCTTCTTGTAAATGTATAGAATGGAGTAAGTTTGTTGAATGTTTGAATTGTGAAATGGAGTGTGTATTGTTTAAGATTTCGAAGTCTAAAGTATCTTCAGAAATTAAGAGCAATGGCTCACTAGTGTTGTGGTCGAAAAGAAGATAGATGCATAGGAATTCATTTATATTGTGAGCGGCTTGACATGTACTGACAATATGTGTGGTATTATAGAATCTTTCAGGGTCACCATCTATATTAATTTTTGATTATATGATCCTTTTGAATCTATTTGATAGTCGGCCAACTTTTACTTCCTGTAGGATATTATAAAATTCAATATCATTTCGTTGACGTTGTGGAATAGTTAAGTATGCCGAGGAGTGAAATACATGTTTCGGTTTTACAGAAGGTAGCTGAGCTAAGTCTCTTACTACTAAAGTAGGTATTCCTCCAAATACAAAATTATTGTTATGAATTTTGGCAAATATATTACTGATGAAGGTAAATAAATCTCCATCTACCATAGAAACTTCTTCTATGATTATAAAATCTATTTTTTTTAGATTTGTTTTATCAGCAATACTTGAGGAATTAGGGTTTCGTATTGTTTATTACAAAAACAGATTTTTAATACAGAATGTATGGTTCTTCTACCAATATTATGAGCTGTAACTTCAGTAAAGGCTATGAGTAAGTAATTTTTGTTTTTTGACTAGAGAAAAGAAATTAGCTAATATAATAGAAATGTTTTGCCTATTCTAGCTGATCCTGTTAAAAAAAAATAAGAGTATCTTCTATTAGATAATTTTCCCCATATGTTACATAAGGTAGAGTAGATTTGATATTGTTCAGTGTTTATGGATAATAAAAATCGGTTGTCTGGATATGGTCGACATTTTTCTAATGAAAGAAATTGATTAAAAATAAGGTTTGATAGGTCATGGTTTTCTAAATCAAGAAGAAGAGTTCTTAATATAGAAGTATATGATTCAGATAAGTGATTTTTTTGGGTTAAATAGCTTTTGCGAAAAGATTTAGTTGCTTGATGATATCTTATTGGAAACATTGCTTGAAAGTGGTCTCTATAGGTTTCAAATTCTCCGAGTAGATCTTGTTCAGATCTCGTGGAGATTTTCATTATAAGATGTTGAAAAAAAAAGAGATCGCCATTTTCAATTTTGTAAAAAGTGAATCTTAGAAAGATTGGTGTTTTTCTTTTTACTATTAATCTATTTTTTCGTTCTCGGCAGTGAAATGTGTTTGAGTTACTGCTAGGTTGTCTAGTTTCAATTGTGTAATCACGAAAGTAGTCGGGATATGTCATGTTGGTGAAAATTTCATGATCGGGACGATCGAAATA